AACAAGGATAACACCAGCAACAAATGAGAAATGGGAATAGAAAACAAGAGAAGTAGAGAACCTTAAACAATATCATGTTCTTTTCAAGATAAAAAGCATAAAGCGTATATAATACATGGAGGGAATTATAGAAAGAACGGTAGGCTAATGAGTAGGCGGAAAAATGATTTTTTTTTTATTTCCACAAAAAGCAGCCAAAAATATTATGTCATCATCTTTTGCTGCATCGAAGCTGATATGCCTGATTTGCAAATATCACATGAAAACAAACACTTCTTCCTAGTTACAAGAGTTTCATTATCAGAAACAATAGAATGTCATTACCAAGAAAATTGGGCTCCATAGACATGATTATTGATTTGTTGCTGCTGTTGTTGACATTGTTGTTGTTGTTGTTGTTGTTGTTGATGTTGCTGTTGTCGTCATTATTGTTGTCGTTATTGTTGTTGTTGTTGTTGTTGTTGTTGTTGTTGTTGTTGTTTTTGTTGTCGTCTTCGTTGTTATTATTGATCTGCTGGATTAGACTCTGGATTGACAACGTGTTGTATTGGAGCAAAATCACTTTGTCTATGTAAGGAAAGGAGGCAGTCCCTTTGGCAGAGGGGTAAATCTACTAAGCCCTGTGCACGCTGGAAATATTTTTGCTCGTCGCATCGGTGTGAGTATGCAAATGAGGAATTTTCCGCCTATTCGACTGACGCCATGCTTCAAAGCTGTGCAACGAGTGGAAATTTAGCTAGCGACAGATAGGCAGCTGGAGAGAGAGATAGACAGTCACAAACCCAGAGAGAGACAAAGAGAGTGCCAGAGATGCGCACGCTCACACGCAAAGACAGACAGACAGACAGACAAACAAGATGATTGATAGTTAGATAGATATATATATATATATATATATAGAGAGAGAGAGAGAGAGAGAGAGAGAGAGAGAGATAGAAAGAGAGAGAGGGAGAGAGAGAGAGAGAGAGAGAGAGAGAGAGAGAGAGAGAGAGAGAGAGAGAGAGAGAGAGAGATTTGCAGAGAAAATTGAAAAGAAAGACCGAGTTAACGAAAGGGGAGAGATCAATACAAGCTAAAAAAAAATCGAACAAAACAGTTCAGACAGACAGAGGAGAAATGACGGACACAACAAGTGCGAGAATGAAAGACATTGAGTGTAGGCAAAATTACACCAAAAAATGCAAAACAGCGTAAGAAGTGGAAACGGGGATGGAAACACACACACACACACACACACACACACACACATTCACACACACACACATTCACACACACACACACACACACACACACACACACACACACACACACACACACAGTGCGCGCGCTCGCGCGCAAACTTACACCTGAACAGAGTGAGCGGTCGAGGAGAGAATGACAGAGAGAATGTTAAAGAGAGAAAGAGAGACAGAAAGAGAAAGAGAAAGAGAAAGAGAGAGAAATAGAGAGAGAGAGAGAGAGAGAGAGAGGGGGGGGAGAGAGGGAGAGAGAGAGGACCAGAGAAAGAGAGAGAGAGGACCAGAGATGGAAATAATATGTTTAAACTGACTTTCAGTGTAAATATGCAAGGAGGTGTTTAAGAAGAAGACAATGGGCCAGGCCAAAGTAGTGTTAAGGGAACTATGCGAATTGAATTACTTCGGCTCTCTCCCGTTTTCGAAATTTCCCTTTTCTCCACGAGGGAATTATCCGAAGTCACTTATCAGTGTTGTAGCCTTTTGACAAAATGGAATGATAGGAGCAAATGGAAACTTTCCAGCTGTAGTCCCAAATGTCCAATGTTACCACAAGTCTACGAAAATCCAAAAGAACTCTTGTGATCAAAGCAATAATACTGATGATAATGAGTGACTGAAATACTCACAAGCACAGATACTCAGATATACACGCCCACATCCCATACACCTCTCCAAATATATAAACATACATACACACATATATACACACATACCACACACAAACAGACAGACACACACATACACACACACATACACACACACACACTTACACACACACACACGCGCGCACACAAACATAACATTACATCTGTTTACTCTTTCCCTCAGACATGTACTTACATAGAAATGATTGAAATAAACATTTGGTTTTTATATATGCCCGACACACCCCTCCCCACTTTCTTTCCTTTGTTGTGATCACACCCTCCCACCTTCTCTCTCTCTCTCCCTCTCTCTCTCCCTCTCTCTCTCTGTCTGTCTCTCTCTCTCTCCCTCTCTCTCTCTCCCCCTCTCTCTCTCTCTCTCTTTCTCTCTCTCTCTCCCTCTCTCTCTCTCTCTCTCTCTCTCTCTCTCTCTCTCTCTCTCTCTCTCGCTTTCCCCATCGCTTCAAGTTTTCAACGAGCGAAAAGTGGTCTGTACGGGACTTTAGATTTGTATGCTTCTCGAAATTTGAAGATCAAGAGTTTGAGCCAAACTGACTGTAGCTTATTCTATTCTATTTTATTTTGCCTTTACTGACGTCCAACACCAGATACTAGACACATTACACTGACTTTTCCTTTGTTTTGCATTTTCTCCTCTGGCAACGAAAATCGTCTTGTTGAGGAACGTTCCCACAGATCCCAAAGGACTACCTAAACTGCAGCCTCTGACTACTAAGTATTCGAAAAATACGACGAAAACCGAACCAGTGGGGTTTTTTGGCTGAGCTGGGCAAATTTTGTATCGATTTGTAAAAAAACAACCACAAAAAAAATAGCCTTATTTTACTTTTCTTTAATTTTAGTATTTTTTATTTTCTGGGGTTTGTTTGGGTTGTTTGTTTGTTTGTTTGTTGTTGTTTTTTTTTGTTTTTTTTGGGGGGGGGGGGCTTTGATGCTTTGGCTTTTTTATTTCAAAAAATATTTTGGGAGTACTTTTTTATCTTTTATTCTTTTTTATTTATTTATTTATTTATTTATTTATTTTTTTTATTTATTTTTTTTTTATTTTTTTTTGGGGGGGGGGGTCCGAGTCATAGTAATGTCGATTGAAGCACACACTTCTCCAACCTTTTATTTTAATGTACACGAATGTCAGCTTCAAAGCTGTATGCCTTTTCCTCCTTACATCACATTGTACTCTGTGAGTTGCAATTATCTTCTCGTCCTCAGCCTCAGTCAAGATGCATTTTAGAAAATTGTTTTCTTGCACGCCAACAAGTATCTCTAGACGTCATCACTAGAGATAGCGCGAGCATCCTCTCGTAATGACTTGTAACTTTAGAGTTCTGTTCCAATCTTGGCTTTCTATTACGTGTCACTTTCTAACTTCATCAGTGCTGACGGGAATGGCGACTCACAGAGAGCGGTGGTCCAATGGTTTGACAGTTAAGCTCGCAAGCGAAGGACGTGGGTTCGAATTCCAATAGTGGGCAGACGTTATGTCCTTGGGAAAGCCCTTTAACACAAATTTTCCTCATTGTACCCATGTAGGAATGCATAGCCAGCATTAGACGCCGAAAGATTGTTTTAGTTTGTTAGTGTTTGAGTGCTTTGAAGCCGATAATTTTTCTGAGTGTTCTTGGGTATTCTCTGGTTATAATAGTTGTACAACGCATAGAGCACGCTGCTTGGATGATATAAATGTTATTCTTTATAACATCAAGTCGTTTTAACTCTTTTTGTACTAAGGCTTACAATCACGTTGTCCTCTTTGGAAACAGCAGGAAAGGGGCATTGCTTCAAGGGAGGTTTTTTGTGTCTCAATAACGACAAGATTTACCACAGAAAGAAACATCCCCTCAATCTTAACCCCGTCCTTTCTCCATTTCCTTACTCCATTGATGCCGAGAGACCGAGGAAAGTGGAACTTTTTAAAGAACATCTTGAAATATTAATTCGTATTCCACATGGACTAGATACTAGAAAATCAACGCTGTTGGTGGAGTCTGCAAACAACCAGAGTTAAATCTATCAGGAAAGATGGAAGCCCTCAGCCCTCCTCTAAAGTTATCTAAATAGTTTTCATGAGCTAAAAGGGATACACTCACCCAACAGAAAGACGGATATACAGGATATAAATAAATTTGCCGACACAGGAATCGAATTCAGAACTTCATTCTGTTTTAAAAACGGGGACACGTTGTTTGTTGTTTTTCTTTATTAATCAAGAAGGCTGACAATGACAAGGCCAAATTCTAACGTTTAAATGCTGTTACCGAAATCGTTCATATTAATTTCTGGAGAACACATGTAACGAAAATAATAATCATTTTCGTCCTGTGCAGATTAAACTTTTGATGTTTTGAATATCTTCAGGTTTTGAAAGTTCCTCAATTAAATCAAAAACGTAACAAAAAAAATGATTTGAAAACAAATACTGCTAACGAAGCTGTTGCACCTTAAGTGAATGCAATTTTCACTCGTCGCTCTTATAGTATAGTCGCTGGAACAAACAAAATTGCAACATAGACAACGTAATATAATTCTAATTCCTTCAATATTGGAACTTAAATCATACACAATCTCAATGGCATTAGAATGTTGAAGGTGAAGAATTGCTGCCCAGAAAATTTCGAGGAAACAGAGGTGTCACTTGCAAACTAAAAAAGGGTTAACGTCATCTTAAGATCAAGAAACGCAAACACAAACTATTGCACTGAGTGTAATTTAGTGGTGATTATTTGGTACTTAGGAACATTGTCTGGGTCATCTTTTTTACCTACTAAACCAAGAGATGTGCCTTCAAAGTGTCCTACGTGTGTTTAATAAGGACATATAATCGCACAAACAAAGTAAAGGAACTCTTAAAAATAAACTATGTTACCTCTACGGAATGACCTCTGTAAGTTTCTCTTGAAAGTAATGTTACTGTATTCAGTTTTATATATTTTGTCACGAAAGCAATGGGATATTTGTCATCTTTACATGTATCTGTATCAGCAAGGATGCGTTTAATTTAGCTGAAAAGCGAGTTAGCACAAATATTCTAAAATTAAAAATATCTGCTAAATAAGCAACAGTTCAAAACACTATTAAACAACTTGGACTAGTTACTCACCTTCAGGGCTGAACAGTTTCCTCAGACGCGGTCGTCACAATCCTGCTGTAAACAAAGAGCAAAGGAGCTGTCATAAAGGCGATGGATTTGCCTCACCTAACTTCTATCAATAATGATCACTATTCTAGAACTACCAGTCAGAGTACTAATGGGAGTTCTGCATGTTCGACAGATAATATATAGGCTAGATTAATGGGGCTTTTCTGTCAAGCTCGCACGCGTGCCAGAAGCGAAGGCAAAAGGGTGATGTCTGCCAGGGATTCTTAGTTACTGTCGCCGCGTGTGAGAAGTGCAGCGGTCCGCGTGGGTGGACTGTCAGTGTGGGCGGGGAGTTCCGAGGGAAATACGGCCAAGTGGGGGAAAGATCGAGGTTTGTGTGTGTGTGTGTGTGAGTGTGTGAGTGTGTGTGTGTGTGT